GGACTCACAGCGGGAGGAGGGGATGAGTTGGGTGGTTTTTCATTTGCTGTCTTGCTTCTATCATGGGTTTGCTACAGCACGTGGCATGTATCCCTTTGAGTTTTAGCCACACACACTCGAGGTATGCACTTAGTCTCATGGACTCCTGGGCTCCGTGTACCGGTACATGGGGTGGGGTGGGGCTGCGCATCTGCCAGGCCCTATTAACTGTTTTATGGACCTCCAGAATATTTCTGGCTTTCTAATCCTTGGAGGAGGGTTATGACTTCACGTCTGCAAATGTTAAAGATACTTTGAAAGTAGCTAAGTTGTTCCATTGTAGAAAATTTTAAAAAATACTGCTACATGAACCACTGAAAAATCAATCAGCTTTATACGGATTCCCAGTGACAGTATCTCACACATAATTTAAAAACTGCTGTGTCTCAAACAACTTACCTAGGGCTGAACACAATATATTCTAACTCCAGAAGTGGCACTAATGATAAGGAATTTACTGTGAAGGGTTTAGCTAAAATAGTTGCATGAAATGTGGAAATGAGGTGAAAACCACATACTGTACTGAAATTAGTGTGTCTTGCCTCACAGGGTATTTAAAGTGTGTTCCTAACTAAAGTATAATTTAAATATTATAATCAAGCATGAACATTGTACCATTGATAACAAATGATCCATGTTTGGATTATTAATTAGATATAATTAAAATGTAATAATTAGATGCATTTCATTGGCAGCCTGATTACATATTTACTTACAAAAAGTATGTTGTGACTCCGGCAAATACAAGATCCTTGAATGAAGGATTGTTTTATGTTTGGGCATGTCTGTCTATCTATGAATCTATATATTTATGTATCTATCTATATTCCATGTCATCAAAGATTATAAGCTCCTTAGGGGCAAAGATAGCAGTGTTTTTCATACTTTATTGTATCTTCAGTGACTAGCTAGCATAGCGTCCTGAATATAAGAACTCTGTAAATGTTGATTTTTCAGGATGCAGCTTTTAAAGAGCATATTAGTCCATTTTGTGCTGCTATAAAAACAATACAGTAGTTCTCCATGATTTTGTTTTCTGTAATTTCCCTTATTCACAGTCATTTTTGGTCTGAAAATACTAAGTAGAAAATTCCAGAAATTAACAATTCCTAAGTTTTAAATTATGCACCATCCCGAGTTGTGTGATGAAGTCTTGCTCTAGCCACCTGGGACATAAATTATGCCTTGGTTCAGTGTGTGATTCCCACCTGTGAAACACTTAATAGCCCCCACTTAACAGATCCACTGTTGTGGAATTGCTGTGTGTGTGATCAAGCAACCTCAGTGTACCTAGTAATGGCCCCAAAGCACAAGAGTGTATATGGGGAAGAACACAGTATACATAGGGATTGGTAGTGTCTGTGATTTCTGGCATCCACTGAGGATCTTGGAATGTATTCCTCTTGCTGTAGATCTGTAGAGCCTTGAATGATGTTTGGTCAATAGCTATTACAAGTGTTTACTGGAATGAAGTACTCATGAGCTTGAATGATTGCAGAGCACAGGGTAACTTTCACTATCCCAGTTCTTGTTCTGGGCCTAAGGAGATTTGGGTGAAATTTTTAAGATAGCCCATGCTGTCCCAACTCTTGTTTTTTCTCCTCTGACTCTCCAGGACCCAAACCATTTGGGTATCAGAGTATTCCTCACTGCGGGAGCTCCAGGAGTTAAGTGTAAGAGTACTTAAGACACGTGTCTGAACACAGACCCAAGCTAATGTGTGGACAAAGATGGTGTCCAGGCCTCCATACTTCTTTGAGTGGAAGTAATTGTGTTGCCTGCCTTCAGACTGCACACACCTCCAGCCTGTAGGCGCTTTTAGCCTCTTTTTGACTTTGGGCTGGCATTGCCCTGTCTCTTCTGCCCTGTCTCTCATCATGGGTACTGGATGTGGTAGCTGAAGGGAAGGCACTGCTGTTGTCAGTAGAGAGCCGGATTGTGGTGAGATGATTAGAGCTGCATAAAGGTTGCATAAAGCTAGTAAAGACCAGAACACTCAGGTTTCTGAGCTTCTATAAGCTGAACTTGGGTACCAGGTTAACATTTTCCATATGTAAAAGATGAAGGTGGTTTTATTTCCAAATATGGTGTTATAACCCTGTCAGATTGTATGGTTAAGATGTTGTTTTGACTTTGAACTGTTGAACTCAAGTGACATTTTCATTCTGGAGGAAGATGTATGAAGAAAAAGAAAACACTGTTTTTGATCAAGTGCCTAGTTTGTACCAGCCATGAGAATAAATGCCCCATTGTTCCACTGAACGACAGCCATTTTCACCACAGGGCGTTTTTTGGTCTTTTTTATGTTTTTGGTGTTAACATTTTGTTTTGAGATAATTCATGGATTATTAAGAAATGATGTGGAGAGATCTCCTGCACCCCCACCAATAATAACTGTCCTCCAGTAATAACATGGTGCGGAACTGCTGGGGAGCAGCAACCTGGGGAATCATTGCTGATGCAGTCCGCTGTGGCTTGCATGTCTCCCCCAGAGTTCACACACTGGAAGCTTGAGCCCCAGTGTAACAGTGTCAGGAGGTCAGGCCTCACGAGGGAAGCCTGGGTCACGAGGCCTCTGCCCTCGGGAGTGGAGGAGGGGCCTGTTATGAAAGTGGGATCTTGCCCTCCCGCGTTCCACCATGGGATGACACAACCAAGGTGTCTTATCACCTGCCAGCTTCCTGATATGGACTGCCCACCCTCCAGAGCTGTGAGCCAAGTAAACCATTGTTTATAAATGACCCAGTCTGGAGCTGGGCGTGTGGTGCACACCTGTACTCCTAGCACTTGGGAGGCTGAGGCAGAAGGATCCTTGTGAATACCAGTCAGCCTCAGCGACATAGTGAGTTCAAGGCCAGTCTGAACTACATAGCGAGGCCAAAAACCAAAAAACAAACAAGCTGTGTTATCTACAAGTACCTACTCTGCAAGATGAATATAAACTATATGTATGGTAAACATGAGTAATAAAATTTTTAAAAAGTACCCAGTCTGGCATTCAAATATCAAAACAAAATGGAATAAGCCACACCATTGACCTTATTCAGATTTCACCAGTTTTCTCTGTGTTCATTAGCGTATTTAAATACTCCATGTAATTTTACTACATATGTAGGTTGCCATTTCTTTTTAAACATGACAGAGAGGCAAGACTTAGATAAGTTACATGAAATGCTACAGGTGTAGTTATGGTGGGTGTTTGACTCTAGATCTGTCTTGCTTTTTCAGTAATAACAACAACAACAGTGGCCGAGTCTCACTAAGTTATGTGTGGAGCACAGCACTTTCTATTTGACAGGAACTGTTCTAATGTACTGACCATTTAATCCTCTCAGCAGTTACACCATGTGAATAAGTCATGTCGCAGTGGAGCTAGTGTCTATTCAAACTCTTAAGTTATACAACAAGGCCTAGGTAATTAGTTTTGCAACTTCTGAAATCAGTAGTAAAATAATGAAATTCTACCATCTTTTTATGTAATTTCACATTTTGAACTTCTGATTTTAATCACTGATCTTAGCAGTTGTTGAGCACTTTCGTGTGTGTGTGTATATGGAGAGAGAGAATATTATTTAAGTTGAATTAGGGACATACTTTAAAAATAGTTCTACTAAGTGATAAATAAAAGCTCACTTAGTCAGAATACCAGGTATTTAAGAGAAGTATAAAGCACCAAGAATACTTAAGAATGTAAATGGGAGAAGTGTGTGTGTGTGTGTGTGTGTGTGTGTGTGTGTGTCTGTGTCTGTGTGTTTAATAGAGTATTTCTTTTTGGCTAAATATAGCCCCATGAATGTTTGAAGTTAGTCAGATCTTAAGTTCTATACCTCATTTCTTTGGTTGTGAATTATCACCGATCAGCAGAATGTGGTCCTGCTTCATAAGAGAACAGCTAAACAAACCAGCAGCCGTTCATTTACCTGCTAGGTAAAGATCTTGTAAAGCTGTCCCTCTGATGAACACCAATGCTTATTCAGACCAAAAATAACAACAGCCCCGTGTGCTGTCGTTCCCAGGAGGTCTTGGTGTTTTTGTAGACAGCAGACAGAAATAAAAGGAATTTTGTCCTTTTTACTTCATGTAATCCCACTGGAAAACGGAACATGTGCTATGCGTTGAAGCTCCCTTCTGCCAGGTCACCTCCCCAAAGGGTCTCGGGCAGGGGCTGTTGCAACATTTCTTGGAGACGGGTGTGACGGGCCTGATGGAGACGGATGGGCGAGCAGCATGCTACTGTGGAACACTGCGCTACTGTCTATGCGAGGAGTCTCCCAGCTAGTGAGCAGCGAGCAGCGAGCAGCAGCCTGGGAGCCGCATCTGCTGCTTTAACTCTTTCAGAGGGGATCAGATAAACCCTACATGCCCCAACTCGAAACCAAGTTCTCCATGGCTTCTTTTTTTCTTTTAAATGCTTGATTACAATGATGTGGCATCATGTCTGGTTTATTTTGTCTTCCTTGGCAGACCTTCATTTTAGATGTTAGATTTACAAATATTTTTGAAGCTATGTGTTGATAGGGACTCTTTGGAAATTACAAAACCTTTTTAGTGGATCACTCTAACCACTTTCTGTTCTCCTAAGGAAGTTTTTCCTATTCATGACTCATTTCGCTCTTTGGCTAACACGGAAGGAAATGTAATAACAATTAAGAAAAGGAATGTATGTATTTTCTTCTTTCTTTGAAAACTTGTACACATTTTCAGTCTCGGGTTATGTAAACTGGGATGACTACAGAATGCTGACAACCGTGAAAGGTAAAAACTTGTCTGTTAGTTCATACTTCTTTGGGATTTAAAAATCAGAAAGCTTCCTTTGCTTCTTTGGAGAAGTGTTTTGCTTGATGGCCCAGAATACAAATCCAGTAAAAACAACATGTTCCAGCCATCATTTACACACACCTTAAGCGAAATTAATGAGATCACTCTAAGATTATGCTTTGTGTTTTATTTTCATTTTATAGGTCTGTATGAGCTGCTGGCTGCTCTGCCAGCCCAGCTGCAGCCACATGTGGATAGCCAGGAAGACTTGACCTTCCTCTGGGATATGTTTGGTGAAAAAAGCCTGCATTCACTGGTAAAGGTAAACCTTGGCTGATGTCAGATTCTCTTTGTAAAAAACATATGGAAAAATATTTTGAGCGACATCTAGTAAACCAGAGATCAAATTGTTGCTTTCTGAAAACAAAACCTCCTTGTTCCATTTCACTGACGGGCGTGGAAGTTGTTAAAGATTCTACCAAAAATACATAGATGATTTCACTTAATGGTGGTCATCTGGCTGTGCATACTGATGTAGCAAACATGTGGTTGGCCTTGTTTAGAAAAAGAATATGAAATAGTAGCAGGGAAGGTTTAGACTCCTTTATAGTCAACATTCATGAGCTGGAATATAACTTAAATAAATAAATGTTCACAGCAAAAATTAGAAGGAATATATTTTCTGAGGTCAAGAATGGCAGCAGTTCAGTAGCCACATTAATTTAAAATAATTTCCTTTAACAAAGTCAACTGAAATTCTAGTAAGCTGTTTCTTATATTGGCACAACTCCATTGAAGTGGTATTTTGTAGATAAATACAGTACACTGAATCTAAATGTGAATAAAAACAGTTTTTGGAGACAGTTTTAGTAAAGCGTCATGCCATGAAAATGATCAGCCACCAGGAACCAGATCTTGTCTTACAGAAACACTGGGAGTGATCAGAAATCTTAAAATAGTAAAATGAGAACAAGAAACTTACTGGAAAATATGCCACTTTTGCTTCTGGAAATATGAATTGCATTTTCTCTCATTTGACTTAAGCTGAAAGAAATTTAGAGTCTTCCTCGAGTCTGTAGGAGGTAGAAGTCCATGCCCCGTGAAATCTGGGCTTGTGCTAGTTCAGCTAAATTTGTTATGGTTGTCTGTCATGATGGTAGACTTTTAATTGATGTATAGAATTTGTAAATGAGCCCCTGCTGAGCTGCAGTTGCTTTATAGAAAGGAGAATTCTTATGTTTTTTTCCTCCCAATTTACTGAAATTTGTATGCTTTGAGCAGTAACGATTCTCAGGAAGAGAAAGTTGATATGTGGCATTTCCCTGGCAGTATGTTTAAAGACTAGAATGTTTTATTTGTTCATTTATTTGTTCTTTCATGATAATGTAATTGCCAAGGTATCTCTTTACTCTAAATGGTTTTAGGCAGTTTAGTTATTTGGGGATTTAGAAATGGTAATGGGATTCCAGTTGATGAAGTTTGTGGCTTGATGAGGTAGTCATAAAAATATTTCTGTGTAGAATGTATAGGAGTTGAATAGCTATAGATTAACTTATATTGATTCTTTTGATAGAAGGAATGAAATGTAGTATTTGAATTAATATTATCATCCCTTAATCATTAAAACATGCCCCAAAACAATGCATGCATGTTTGATTTATTTATGACAGGGTTACTACCTCAGTTTTTTTTTTAACCTAAAATGGAAGTCAGAATGTCTGTTGGCAGAGTTGTAAGTTTCAGGTAAAATAGTAAAGATTGAAATTCTTTGATAGCTATAAAGGTTAGGTAAACTTAAGTGGGCATTATTAAGTATCAAGGAACAATGTAATTATCATAACCTGTGAAGAACCAGAAAGAACTTACAGAGACAGTTCTGTTAAAAGAACAGAACTGATGTATAAAACAAATTCTGAAGTTACAGTGGCTGTTGAGTGTTAAGCAAAGGAAGCTTCCAAAGCGTATGTCAGTTACAAGTGGTTGGGAGCATTCTGAAGGGTACTGCTGTCTGGTTTCTTAAAAACAGCGAAACAAATAAATGGATATTACTGGTATTTAGATAACACATTTAACACATCTGCTCTTCCAAATGTTTTTTCGGAAATTGCTATTGAGATGTATTTTAAAAATTAATTTTATCATGTATCTGTAGTATATTTCCAGTGTCTCTACAGTTTTCCCTGCCCTGACTTTGATCAAATGCAGACCTCAAGAATGTCCTTCAACTGACCCATTCTGTTAGTTTTAAATATGTAACATCTAAAATGCCTCCAGGAGGCAGTCTCATGGGATTGTAGCTTTAAACAGCTGGAACAAACCACTTAACTGTACTCCAAGTACCTCTATTTAAGGTTGGAGGATAGAAGCTTTCAGCTTTTGTACATAAATCTTGATAGAGCAAAAAGGAATTTGTTTGAAAAGATTTGTTTTAGAGTGAATCAAAATGTGCTTTGGTTTTATTTTATGCTCTTTTGCCTGATGTTAAAGTTGTTAGTATGTGATTTAGAACTGGGCAAACACAAAATTTTCATAGTTATATTATACTCTATAGATTTTTAAAAGATAGTTGTAAATCACATGGCTTTAACTAATAGGACTTTGGGATCTAAAGTAAAATATAGATAAGAAGAGGCATTTTTGGCATTACAGTCTATGTAGCAGGTACAGCAGGCCACTGGGGAATAGAGAAATAGGATGTCACAGAGAAATAGGACGATCTTTGGGGTATTAGCTAAAGATATTGTATTTATAAAAGGGAAATTTTTGGATAGAAAAGTTGAATAACAACAACAACTGTGAGCATGAGATTTTGTTAAATATCAGAAGAAGTTGGTGCTGAGGGAGGATGTGAGAAATGTCATGTCTTGGGGGGTGGGGAGATGTGTGGTGTGAGCAGACACCACTGATCCGGTGGGTGTCATAGAAGACCGCGGAGTGGAGAGCCACATTTTTTACCACCTTTGCAGATATACGGGAACTGAAGCATGTATTTTATGCCCTAGCTCATTTTTAAATTTATCTTTTACTCTTAGGCATTTGTTCAGTTATCTCTTTACTTCAAGTTTTATTTAGTTATGCTCTCTCTATATTTGATAGTTTTATGTATTTCTATATTTTTATAGGCTGATTTAAGTTCATTTAAGGACAAGATATGGCAGAAAGACTTGCTTAAATATCATTTTCTTTTTAATTAGTTTGTACCGCTTCCTCAGGAAATTTCTGTTCCTAACACAGTTGTGTTATATTTCTAGGATGAGTATCAATTGTGATTATCTTTCAAATAGTTACGTCTGTTTCCCTCTGCCCTTTTAAGTAGCTGTGTGTGTGTGTGTGTGTGTGTGTATAGATAAGTGTGTGAAGGGGAGGAAAAAGTGATGACCTGAATTTTATCCTTTTTCAGATTTTGAAGTATTTCAGGAGACAAAAATTAACATTTTAAAGAAAAATTTCCTCATGCAGTTGAATTATTTGTGTGATTTCAGTTGAAAAGGACTAATGATACTCAGGTAGGCCCTTACAGCGTTGAGTTACATAGCTTTAACTTTTGATTATTGATTAGTTTATTTGTGCCATCGAGTACTTACTGTCACCAATCACTGAACAGACTGTCAGGGCCCAAAGGCCCGACCTGGCAGCCACAGTCCCCTGCCCTGTGGGTCTCCAGTAGCCCAGAGGGTTACAGATGGCTCTCACAACACTGCGTGATAGATGTTGGCAGCTTCTTACTAGAGGCACAAGGTATGTAACTCAACACTGGCCTCAGGCATGGGCTCTTGGATGAGCTGGGGTCCTCTGCTAGATGTTGCATGTCGAGTAGGAGACACTCAGGTAGGAATTGATGGGAAAGTGGGAGATTGGGTGAGAGGAATAACATGTAGGTGCCTGGAGGTAAGAATGAGTATTGGCTGTGAGTAATGACTTTTGTGGGCACCGTCGTTTGCCTGGTGTGTGAATCAAGGAAGGGTATGACAGCAAAGCGTGGCAAGAAAGGCAGGGGCTTTTTTGGTTCTGGGTGCTGGAGACGGAGCCCAGGGTCTTTGCACTGAGCTACATCCCCATCCCATTAAAAAAAATTTTTTTTTTTAAATTTTGAGTCAGAGCCTTGCTAAATTACCCAGACTAGGCTTGAACTTGTGATCCTCCTACCCCCGCCTCCTGGAGTGCTGGTATTATGAGTGTGTGCCACCACACCGGGCTCAGAGACCTGTTTTTGAATGGAATGTCTTCATAAATCCCTTAAGGTACAAACCAAGGCAATGGAAGCCACTCACTGGCAGGTTTCAAGCAGGGGAGAGAAGATACCAGCTATTTTTTAGGAGCAAGTTGACATAGTGTGAAGACTGGGTAGGGTATGAGATTTCCAGGGTAAAGATGATGGTGTCAGAGTGTTGGGAAAGGGGAGCTCAGTTTTAGTTTGAGAGAAAGGGTGATGCTAGCATACCTGAGGCTTCTTAACATATCAGAACTCCTCCTGCCTGTGATCCAGCCAATGGTCTTTATGTCAGGCCATTGGGAGCTGAGAGGATGCCACAGGTTGTCTCTGGAGATCTCTGTAAGCCTGAAGGCACCGGTTCTCATATATTTTGACTACCTTCTCAGAGGAAATGAGAGGTGATTTTAGTTTTGTTGACGTTTGCTATTTGGGGCCTACTCAAATGGGACTGCCTATTATATAATTGAGTACATGCATCTGGAACTGAGGATAATTTCATTCTAGCTTGGTGATAAGGGATTTGGGAGTAGGACTGCCTGGTAAAATATAGAATATCCAGTTAAATTTAAATTTTGGATATATAACAAGTGAGTTTTTAGTATACATATGAGCCATACAATATTGGTAATTTTATTTGTGAAAACTGGCAATCTATTTGAGAGTCATTCAACATTTAGTTTAGTAACATTTATTATTCACATGCTGTACAGTTCATTTGCTTAAAATACACAATTTAGTGGTTTTTTAGTATACTTACAAGGTTGTGCACAGCCATCACCACAGTCAGTTTTAGAGCAGTTTGTCACCTTACAAAGAAGTCCAGTACTCCAGCTATATCTCCCAGCCCCACATTCTCCCTCCCATTCCAGCCTGAAGCAGCCATCGTCTACTGCCTCTGTATCTGTCCATTCTAGACTTTTCATATAAATGGAATCATATGATCTGTGGTTGTTTGGTGACTGGATTCTGTCATTCAGTTTAATAATTTCAAGGTTCACCCAGGTCTAGCATGCATCTATATTCATTGCTTTTTGTGACTGAATAGTATTATGTGGATATGCTCCATTGTGTTTATCCTTTCACCCATTGGTGGACATCTGAATTGTTTT